ATTTTCCTGGCTGGTCTTCTTTTATTAAGCCACATCCTTCTTTTACTAAGCCATATATATATATATATATGAAGAGACATGCTTCCTCTGCTGAAGTAAAGAGCTGTAGTCTGTTACCTAGAAGCAAAACCTTTAGGAGATCTCTTGTTTGCTGTCATACTGGAGACCCAAGGACTCAGTTATTTCCTCCCCAAACCTCAAAGTGGATTTTTAGTTTTATCAAACTTTGTTATTGTGTGTGATATTCAGATGTGCTAAGGCTAAACTTTTTGTTGCTGAATCTGCTGATAGCAACTGACTTGTAGTTTTTGACCTTATGTTCATAATATATTCTGTGCTGGCTACCATGACCAGTAGCTCAAGTTCACATACTTTTTGCTACACTTGAGCAAATAAAACAGTTTTGAGGTAGAGAAAGTAGACCCACTTTCTGTGGTTTGAACTCATTCCACCAGGGCCCAGATTGCATGTATTGGTTCCATTGCAGAGGGGCAAAATATAGCTCATGGGCTATATTCAGCTCACCAACTGATCGTATCTGGCCCTTTGGCTGCTGCTGGAAGCCTGAGGAGGGAGGGCTGTGCCTTGTGTTGCTCCACTTTACAAGTATTACCTGCTACACAGTTTATTAGTTTAGTGCACCCTAATAGGGGCACACGTGTAGATGCTGAGACATTTACTGCACAGTTGCTCAACTGTGCAGTAAATGTCTGGTGTAGATGCACCCACTGTGTGCTAATGGGTTAAGTGTAAGTGATGATCACCAAAAGGGTTCTTGACTAGCAACAAGACTTAGAGCATTTTGAAATCTTTAAAAAGTTCATGACCTGAGGGGGGTGTATTGAGAAGCCATTTTTTTCTTATAAACTAACAGTAGGAGAGAGCTATTTGTTTTAAGACAATCTTATTATGCTTGTGGTTTTTAAGCACTTAAAAAGAAACTTAAATAGCAAACTAGTCAACCTGAATAGAGTGCTTCTACTGCTGTGCTGTAACGATTTGAATGAAACTAGAAGGAATACCTTAAGGTTTCAGGGTCAGGTTTGGGGAGGTACAAGATGAATCTGGAAGAGAGACAGCAAAGCCTCTACAGAACCACCTTGATCCAACAAAAAAAACAGACGAGTATGGTATTGAGTGAAACCGGCACAACCTTGTAAATTCAGCTGAGAACTAAAACAGTCTTTCTGCTAATGGAGGCAGGTGAGAAAATCAGTCTGTAGGCGGTATAGATTTTTAATGTTAAGAAACATGGCTACTTGCAGCATCTTGAAACATGGGAGACTGGTTGGTAAGAGGTTAAGTAGTCATTTGATCTTTTGTTTACACATTCAGATTGCTTTGAAAGCAGGGTAAGTGTAGTAAATTTCAGAGAGGCTTACATACTAGGAGTGTTTTTACATGTGCTGGGCTGTGGCTGGGGGGAGAATACACCAGAGTCTCATGTTTCAGAATGGCAGCGGCACCCCCACTACCATTTTGAAGCACAGAGACACCAATACACAAGAAGCAGAGGATGGCTGGAGCGTATATGCATGCTTCAGCAGACTGGATTAATCAAGTTTGCTCCTACGCTCTGTAAATACAGTGTGTTGGAGCAGCCTCCCCACATGTCTACAGGCACCTACAATGACTAGAATCTGACTACAGGATTTGTTCTGGGGACACGTGTTTAATGTCACAACTGATTGGTGTTACAGGGGATCAAGAAACACTGCTAAGTATCAGTGCTTGTCAACCAAGTTTCCATGAGATACTTTTAAGGCTGCCATACGGTGCCATGCAACATGAGCATTGCTAGGTAGATGTGCAGAACTCTATACAATTCACAAGGTAAACCCAGAGCTTTTCAAATAGGAACCTGTAGATTCACAAACATCGACTGTGGTCTTTCTGAGTTCTTTGCAGCAGAAGAATTGCTCTTTTTTCCATAGTCAAAAGACGAGAGAGAGCTAAGAGCTGGGACTTTTGTTTTTGTTTTTTTTCTGATAGGGTGCCTCAAGTCTAAAAAGGCTGAGAACCACTGGTCTTTATGCACCTCAGAAATACACCTCTGATGATTGGATCTGCCTTTTGTAGGGAACTCCTGTGGTAGGAGCAAGAGCTTTGATTTAAAATAAAGCTTCGACCCACATTCTTGCTTTGCATAGATTAAAATAAATTTAAATCTTAAAATTTTTGTTTTCAATCAGAGCATGAAGCAAAAGGCTCACTTAGAGGATTCATACTACTCCTATGGATAGCATATGATACCCCTCTAACCTGTACAAGAGACTGAGTGTTACTTTATTTGTTTTACTATGCCTTTTGTACTAACAGGGAAACCATTTTATATTAGGGTATGGAGAAATGATCAAATTAATGCGAATTAACAGCAGGCTGGGAGTTATGACAGGAACAGCTAACACCCAGTAACTGAGGCAACTTATCCCTTTTTCATTAGAGAATAAGATGCCACAGTTTAGCTTTCACTTACCAGAGTAATTGCAGACACAGTATTGCCATGAGTCAGCTGTTCTTTTTAAGTCCCCACCTCTGTTGACTTGCTTCGGTGGTTTTTGCATGCATAGTAACATGTCTTCATTAGCTTAGTATCTGAGTCTTACACTGTGTTATGTTCAAAACACCACAGCATTTACAAAGGAACTGAGGCAAAAGGGGCTGGGATTTTTAAAAGCTGGAGTTAGGTATTGAAATTTATTTTTGTGTGTTTAAACCAGGGCTGTTCAAACGGTGGCTTATGGGCTGCATGCAGCCTGTTAGCAGTTAAGAGGTAGATTGTGGGCCCGAGGCTGCCTCTTGCACTGCTGCGCAGTGGGGAAGGGCCCAGGGGTCTGTGCACCATGTGCAACCCATGTGGTGGGGGATAGAAAGGGGTGCTACATACCACAGCCTGCACATTGGAGAACATGTGGGGGGGGGGGGGGGGGGGAGCTGTGGGGATGACAAGCAATCCTCACAGCATGCAGTCTGCTTGATGTGCAGCTCAGGGGTTGCATGCAGGCAGCATATGCAAGTTGGACAGTCCTGCTTTAAATAACTAAAAACCTGACTTGAAGAGACTTGTTGAAGTTCACATCAGTCTCTAGTAGATCAGGGAATTCTGTTTATCCTGAGCACCACTGTCCTTCTGCTTTACTTGTGGCAGGTTAGGGTGATATACTTTTTGCTCATGGTAAAGCTCCCTGTGTAGTCTTAGTAAGAGGTCAGACCAGAGGTTTCCAAATAGTGGTCTTGCATACCTCTAGGGGTATGCACACATCTCTGGGGGGCTTTTGGGAGAAATTGTATAATGGCTGACTTAATTTTCATTATAATGAGCATTTAAAGGGTTAATATATAACACGTACTGGTAGGGGTACACAGGCAGCTGGCAAATCTGGAAGGGGGTATGTAGTAAGAAAAAAAGTTAGGGAATCCATGGGCTAGACAAAAACTTGCTTGGGACTATTTGGACACGGATGATCTTGCCTAGATGACCTCTAGGCCGGGGGTCCCTTCCAGCACTACTTTTCTGATTCTGTTTACCATTGAAGGTGTCAGTCCATTACTTTGCATCTTGTCTTTGCTACCAACTGAATTTCAGTTCAGAATGTTTCCTACCGTTAAACCCTAGCATATGTATGCTTTTGAGCCCTAAGAACATCTTTTGCCACTGTTGATGGCTTTTGTTTAAATGTTAACATAAATGATCAAATTTTTTGTAGGCCCATCTTGCTTGGGAAAGAAAGGAATCTATATAGCAGCATTTAAGTACATAACTTTCCCAAATTTGGAACAATATTAACATTTTAGTATTTTTTCTGCAAATTGTATTTTTTTTTTAATTAAAAGTATAGATTTATACAACCCACCCTGTCCAAAAGGCTGAGTGAAAATAGCTCTTCCAAATACTTACAGCAGGAAAAAAAATGTTTTTCAAGTCTCCAACTATAGGGAAATGCTTAACAGCTTAATGCTTAAATAGGCATAATATCCATTTGGTAAACTTATAGCATACATCCTTATTTACTAAGGTTGATTTTCTCTAATTCAGTTCTCAACCTTTCTAGACTCAAGGCACCTCAAAAAAATCCAAGCTCTTACCTTTCACTAGTTTCTTGTCTACAAAATAGAGCTCTTTTGCTGCAAAGAACTCAAAATGTTGACACTACATTTTTTTTAAATCTCTGGGCTTGTGAATTTTGCTTAACCAGTTGCATACCTAATATTTTTCAGTGTCCGTAAGAGAATCTCGTGGCACTTTAGTTGAGAATCACTGTACTGAGTGTGCCTACAGTGAAAACAGAACCCCATCTAAAACTATGACCTAAGGCACAATTTAAAACCTGTTTTTGTAGGGAGTGGGGTAAAAATTACACAGCTGCAAAATCCTAGCTCCCGAGTTATTTCATAATGTAAACATGTTATGAAGTAATTGAACTATTGTACTAGAGGAGTATGACAAAATTACTAGCCGTTAGACTGGATATCACTTCTGCCCTTTTCACTGGGGTTGAGAACCTATGTTGAACCTGACTAGATAGAGCCTACAATGAACTAAAAGAAGTGATAAACTATTATTTACCATGTGAGTTTTAGGACTAGCTGCTAGCTGACTATTACACAACTGTTCACACACAACTTCAAACACCACCTCTGACTGGAAGCCTGAGAAATGCCAGCAACATTTAAACCTAATTTGTTATTAAAAGAAAACTACCAGTTGAGAATTCTACTAAAAAAAGTGATGAATTAACAAGGTACAAGAACAGTGTCATAAATGAATGTTATGTTGATACCTTCATCCCTTGAGGAAAGGCTGAATTCAAGCCCCAATTATTAACATTACAATAGGAGCTAGCAATGCTACTTACACCTAGGGCCTTGCAAGGGTACTGACTAAGTAAAGTACTATTCCAAAAGAGCTTACAGGCAAAACTAAGTTCTTGACCGTAGCAGAATGTTCCTTCTGGATGGTAATGCATGCTTGCAGTTTAAAGAAAGTAACAGACAGAAAGTCATGTACATCATTTTATTACAAAAGTTGTTAAAAAAAGTAATACAAGGCAGTATCCTACAAAATATAAGACCAGCTATTATGCTACTTTCTTTGTTTGACTTTGCTAAAAACAAACAAACAAAAAACCCAAGGAAAGAAAAAAGGTATCGGGCTATCAATCACTGAATTTCAAAAAAAACCATTAAATATGCAAAAAACATTTGACATCAGGTCCTCCCTCCGCCCCAAACTGAAGTGTAGCAGCCCTCAGCTACCACTTACATTAAAAAATATAGGTCTCCCTACAGAGAATCACATTACCTATACACAATTCTGTACAGTTTTTATACTGAAGCTAACGAGCTGCACTTGAGTTCACATTCTTAGCAAAACATTGGGCTTTGAGCAGAAATCTTTACAGCAGCAGAACTATTTACTCCTCATCCTCTTCCTCCTCCTCCTCCTCTTCCTCCTCATCTTCCTCTTCCTCCTCCTCTTCTTCTGGCTCTGCCTTCTTCTTAGACCCTGCAGGCCTACCTGGACCCTTTTTCCCTACATCACTCTTGCTCTTGGCACGATATGCTGCAACATCCTGAAAAAGTCAAGGCACTGAGTTTCTGGTAACAGAAGTTTTATAAATGCTAGTTTAATACCAGTTTCAAAATATTTTGTTAGTATACTGGACAGCAAGATGCATGTAAAACACATGAGATACAAGTGATAAGTTTCCCACTTAAGACTCCTGTGTCCTTCACCTGGGTTCAGGCATTCAGGCCATGTATTATGAGGCATTTATGGAAGTGGTCAGAGATACATTTCTGTTTTAATTTGGAATTGCAGTATGCAAGAGAGAAAGCCACCCAAATAAGTTAAATGATTTTAGTTTTCCCCAAACAAAGCTTAAAATCTTCAGATCAATACACCACCTTCCTTGGGGCTAATGACTAGGCATTTTGACCATTCTTCAGTTTCAAACAACATCACGCAGTGTTTAGGACTGCACCTGAGCCAAGTGCCGTTTTGTGTACAGCAGGGTGAATGCTGCTATTTCATTTCTAACTGCTCAACCTGTGCATTCCTGGCTGTTTTCACTGTACCTTTTCATATTTCTCCTTTAGTTTTGCTGCCTTCTGTTCATATGGCTGTTTATCTTTGGCTGACTGCTCAGACCACATTTCACCTAGTTTCTTGGCTGTGTCCCCAATAGACAGGCCAGGATGTTCCGTCTTGATCTTTGGGCGATGCTCGGAACAGAAGAGGAAGAAGGCAGATCTAAGGAGAGGGAGGGGAAAAAACCCAACCACGTTTCACATGGGTGAAAATGGGAGAACTCCCACTCCCTCCTCCCCCCAGGATGACAGCTTACGGTGGCCTTTTGGGGGCATTGGGGTCCTTTTTCTTTCCCTTCTTCTCGCCTTTGGGGGGAACGTAGTTCTTCATCTCTCTGTCATAACGAGCTTTGTCTCCTTTTGCCATTTCCTCGAACTTGCCTTTCTCCTTGCCGGACATGGTCTGCGAGCGCCAGGCAGGGAGGAGGAGGGGTCAGAGCCGCTGCAGGGCGGCTGGGCCAGCCTTTTGGGGGCATTGGGGTCCTTTTTCTTTCCCTTCTTCTCGCCTTTGGGGGGAACGTAGTTCTTCATCTCTCTGTCATAACGAGCTTTGTCTCCTTTTGCCATTTCCTCGAACTTGCCTTTCTCCTTGCCGGACATGGTCTGCGAGCGCCAGGCAGGGAGGAGGAGGGGTCAGAGCCGCTGCAGGGCGGCTGGGCCAGCCCGCCCACCCGCCCCCGGCAGCTGCTGCCCGGGCGGCGCCTGCTCCCCTCTCCTCGCCCCGCCCCGCCCGGGCCCGGCCTGCGCTCACCTTCCCCCGCTCCGAGCACTTCCGCGAGAACTCGGCGAAGTTGACGGAG